GTACGTGCGTGCGGCGCGTGCGGTGCGTGCGTGCGTGCGTGCGTGTGTGCGTGTGCGCGTGCGTGCGTGCGTGCGTGTGGGCGTGCGTGCGTGCGTGTGTGTGCGTGGGTGTGCGTGCGTGCGTGCGTGCGTGCGTGCGTGCGTGTGTGCGTGTGCGTGCGTGTGCGTGCGTGCGTGCGTGCGTGCCTGTGTGCGTGCGTGTGCGTGTGAGTGTGCGTGTGTGTGTGTGTGTGTGCGTGCGTGCGTGCGTGCGCGCGTGCGTTCGTGTGTGTGTGTGACTGCCCGTGCGTGGGTGTGTCAGTGTGCGCGCGTGCGTGTGTGCGCGCGCCTGTGTCCGTGCGTTTGCGCGCGTCTGTGCGCGCGCGTTTCAAGTCGGCCTTTCGCCCGCGCGCCGGCCGCCCAGGTTGGCCGCGATCGCTGCAATGCAGCCGTGGCGCTTTGGTGCTTCAGTCACGTGACATGTCCATTTCTCAGTGCGCAGCCGTTTGCTGCTACTCATGGTCAGACCCTTTTTGGCATTGCCTTCGCAGGCTGATCCGGCACTCGGCAGGTCAGGAGGTCTCCGTACTCGCCCATTCGTTGGTCCTGCTCCCCCCCCCCTTGGTTCCGCACGGCCGCCTTCGGGCTGCCTTCCCCCCAGGCGCCGCTGGTTCGCCCGCCCCGCCGCCGCTGGGACTTGCCTGAGCAAGCTCGGCTTCCCCTCTCCCCGCCTGCGCCGGGTTTCCCCCCTTTTCCCCCGTGCGCCGCGGCCCAATTTTCATGTTGTGCGCCCCGCTAGTGCCAAATCGCCGGGGCAGTAACCTCTGCGCAGCCGCCGACGCAAAAAGTGCGTGTGTGTGTGCGTGTGTGTGTGTGTGTGCGTGTGTGTGTGTGAGTGTGTTTGTGTGTGTCTGTGTGTGTGTCTGTCTGTGTGTGTGTGTGTCTGTGTGTGTGTCTGTGTGTGCGTCAGTGTGTGTATCTGTGTGCCTGTGTGTCTGTGTGCCTGTGTCTCTGTGTGCCTGTGTCTCTCTGTGTGCCTGCGTGTCTGTGTGTGCGCGTGCGTGCGTACGTGTGTATGTGTATATGAATGTGTATGTGTGTTTGCGTGTGGGTGCGTGCGTGCGTGCGTGCCGGGGTGACTGAGCGAGTGAGTGAGTAAGAGAGTGAGTGGGTGCGTGCGTGACGCTGCGGTCGCCGCCCCGCCTCCTTTGCCGCCGCCCTGGAGCAAGCCCGTTGCCCGCTGCCCGCTGCCCCGGCGCCCCTGTGCCGTTCTGGTCCGCTGCCCTGTGCAGGGCCGCCAGAGTCTCTCTTGTTCGCTCTTCTCCTCGGCTGCTGTGCTCTCGCGAAGTTCCCCGCGCGCGGGCGGAACGGTGCAGAGGTGCCCTCGCCCGCGACGACCGAAAAGTGCGCGCGCGTAGCGATCGCGTTAACCATCGCTGCGTTGGATCAATCGGCCACGAAGCTAACAAATTTATCCCAGCGAAGGACCCAACCAAATGCACTCGTGAATAACGCAGTTGTGAATACCGTCCTCGGAGAAGCTCCCAAAAGGGCCACGAAGCGCGCGACGGGGTTGCCAAAATGGGCGCGGGAACGCCATGACGGCGCTGCCTCCGGGGCCTGCGGTGGAGCTCGGCATGGGGCCACGAAGCGCGCGAGGGGTGCGCCGAAATCGAGCGGCGGAACATGCGGGCGCTGCCGCTGGAGCCTTCGGCGGAGCTCAAACGTGTGAAGGGTGCGCCGACATGGAGTTTGAACCACATCTGGGCGCTGCCCTTGCGGCTTTCGGTGGAGCTCTCTGTGGGGCTGAGAATTGCGTTAAAAGGCTTAAGGTGGAACGGCGCGCGGGCGCCGCCGCTGTGGCCTCAGCTGGAACTCCCCATGGCGCCGCGAAGCGTGTAATGGGTGCGCCGAAATGGGGGGTGGAACCACATGCGGGCGCTGCCACGGAGGGAACTAAGCGTGGAAGGGGCGTGCCGAAATTGGCGCCGAGAAACGTGCGCGGGCGGCGGCGACGCATGCTGACGGCCCCGCGCGGGGTCTTGTGCGGAGCTCCCTGTGGGGCCACGAAACGTGTCAGAGGTGCGCAAAATGGTGGGGCCGCACGCGGGCGGCGCGAATGAGGCCTGTTTTACAATCCGCAGCAAGGCGCGCAGCGCGCCCGTATCTGCCCCAGCGGCCTGCAACGGGCACCGCGCCCACTTGGCCCAGCGCAAGAGGATTGCAAAAGGCCGCCGCCCCGACAGATTGCCCGACACGGACTCGGCAGGCGCCTGCGCCCGAGGGCTCAAGGAGACGAGCCACACGCGCGGGCGTCCGCTCATGAGAGCTGCCATCCGCTCTCGGGGCTCTCACCCCACGCGGTCTCGCTGGCCTTGCGACGCCTGAGTATGCCGGCCTCCTTGGTCATAATCTTTCCTCATCACGTCTCGAGCCCGCGGTGCTTGCCCTTGATCTCCTCGGCACACTGGCCGCGCCGCAAGAGCGCCCGGCGGCCGCGGGGAACCTCGGCCTCGCCCAACTAGCGCCCCCCTCGGCTCGGCTTCCAGCGAGCCGGACCCGCGGGAGACCTCGGCCGCGCCTGCGCCTCGGCCCGGGGCGCTAGAGACCGTGAGCACCTCGCGGCAGTCTCTAAAGCTGTCTCCGCATCGCCTAGTTTCCCCGCATGGGCATGGGATCTGCCGGGCCCGCTGCCGGACCCGCCAAGACCGCGCGCCCCCTGGCGGCCCCGGCCCGCATCTGCGCTCCTCGCGATGGCCCGCGGGCAGCGCGCTCGCGACAGCGTTGTCCTCGCTGCGCCACTCTGTCTCCCGCTCGTCCTCGCGCGCCCGCGCAGCCGCCAGCGCCGCCGCCGCGGCCCCGGCGCGAGGGTGAGCCGACGCCGCTGGCCGCTTCGTGGCCCCACTGACCTCCGCGCAAAAGGCGAGAGCAATCACCGCGCCCATTTTCGCGCAGAGCTTGCGGGCGCTCCCCGCGCTGCACCCGGCTCGGAGGCTGCCCGGACAGCGGATCGCCCAGGCACCCGCGGCAACACCCCTCATCTTGAACGTCGCGTGCTTGGCGAGGGCATGCCTCGGAGCGGCGTTCGAGCGCGTCGCGGCAATCGACGCCTTCCCCGGCGTCCTCGCGCGCACCGTGACCCTTGACCATCCGCGCCTTGCAACCTTGGCCGACCAACTCGTCGAACTCATCCTGGAGCGAGGTGGGCGCCAAGCCTCCGTTCACGCGGGCCGCCCCCATCATGCGGCCCCACTCCGCTCGCGCCCGCTGCGCGCGACTCCGTTGCAACCGTTGCCGGCGCTGGCCCGCCAAGACGATTCATCGTAATCGGCCCCCCACTGCTTCGCCAACGGGCGACGGAGCCGCCAGCGCACGCGACGGAGTCGGCTCAAGCCACTCGTCGGACTCCGGGAAGATGGCCCTGCCCGTGGCGCAGTCAGTCCACGCGCAATTGAACTCGATGCTGATGAGGAAGTCGATGAGCGCCTCAATCGAGCACAGCTGCAGCTCACGCGGCCCGAAGGAGTCGAAGGCAGCACCTCTAGCCTCCTTGCAGCTGCCGGTGGTTCCCCCGGCCCCGTCGATCGCGGGCCTCGGGGTCGCTCGCCGAGCTCGTCTGGCGACTGGATGTCAGCCCCTTTGATCTCGGCCGCAGTGGGGCCTGTAGCGCGGTGCGCGGTGTCCCAGTCGTCGTCGTTCCACCCGCTGTCGCCCGCCTCCGCTGTCGACCAAACCGGCCGCGGAGAAACTGGCGCGCCGGGGGGGGGCCGATGTCGGGGACGTGAGTCGCGATGGCCAGCTGCTCGAATATGTCCTCTGAATACAGGCCTCTCTGACCTGACTGCGGGGGGCGCTTGCCACGCAGTTTGCCGAATCGCGTCGGAGGCCCTCATCCAACGCAGATGACCGTCAATCTGAGCGCCGCCCCTGCGCGCGATGGCCGCGCCCTGGTGCCGCGCGGCGCGCGCGGTGACCTTCGGGGCCCGCGGGGGGCAAGAGACTCGGCCTGTTGCTTTGGCCCGCAGACTTGCCGCAGTCGTGCGCAAATCCCGTGGCGTCGAAGATGTTCTGCTTCGCCTGGCAGATGAATGAAGACCTTCCGCTTGCTGTCGGGCGACTTCGCGGCCAGCGTTGTTGCCTGCCTGTTCGCCGCCCGCTCGACGCGGCCCGTGGAGCAGCGCGCCCGAGGGGGCGGGCGCGGGACCCGCCCCGGGCACTGCGCGTTGAGCGCGCCCGGGAAGCCCGACTGCGCTAGCTCGTGAGGCCCCTGGTTGAAGTCCCCGCCCACGATGGTGGGCTTGCCGAGCTGCTTGGTTGCGGCTGAGACCGTCTGCCCCACCCTGTAGTTGGAGTCTGGGAGGCCCTCGCTGACCCTCCGGCACGCTGGGGGCCTCGCTCGCCCGTGCGCGGGGGCCGCGCGGGGGGCGGCGGCCCTCGCCGCCGCGGGCCGTTGATCCTCTGCCGCGACGCCTGGCGGGTGAAGACGCGCCGCTTGCTGTCGGGCGACGTCGTGGCCAGCGTCGCCCGCCTCGTTGCCGCCCGCTCGACGACGCGGCCCATGGAGCAGCGCGCCCGAGGGGGCGGGCGCGGGACCCGCCCCGGGCACTGCGCGAGCGCGCCCGGGAAGCCCGACTGCGCTAGCTCGTGGGGCCCTGATTGAAGTCCCCGCCCGCGATGGCGGGCTTGCCGAGCTGCTTGGTTGCGGCGTAGACCGTCTGCCGCACCCTGTAGTTGGAGTCTGGGAGGCCCTCGCTGACCCTGTGGCACACTCGGGGCTTGCTCGCCCGTCTGCGCGGGGGCCGCGCGGGGGGCGGCGGCCCTCGCCGCCGCGGGCCCTGGCGCCATGTGCTCGGCATTGTGGATCATGGCCGCCGCCCGACTCTGCCGGCCGCTGAGCGAGTTAACCCAGGCCAAGAACTTCCTGCGGCACGGCTCGCCGCGCCGCTCATCGCAAGCGCGGGTCTCCGCCGCGAGCTGCTCCGCGGCGAAGCGCGCGGGCGCCCTGGCCCAGTCGAAGCGCGCGCGCCGCGAAGGGTTCGCACCAGCGGCTCCGCTCGTCCTCGGCGTCGAATTCCTCCCCGCCGAGCCCGAGACCTCTTCGCTGGCCTGACGACGTCCTGTTCGACGCGGGGGACAAGGCCCCCGCTGGCCCGATTGTGCCCCGCGTCGGGCCAGGCGGCGCCGCCCGGCGTGCACACCTCGACGCGGGCCACGCTGGCGCGCCAAGGAGGGCTCGAACCTGCCCTGGATCTCGAAAGCTCCGAGTCAGTGCGCGCAAGGCGTCATCTGGTGGAGTCGCCCACCGCGGCCGTGGGCCCCAGGCCCCGCGTTGGCCGCAGAGCACGCCTGCGCGCGCCACCCCTGCTTCACCGACTTGTCGGTCGCCTCAGCGCACGTGGTCGGCGAGAGGTGCGTCTCCTGAACTGCCATCGCACCGCTGTTACGCACCGCGCAGTGCTGCCGCAGCGCCTACAAGCTGCTGCGCGCGCTGGCGCTGGTGGGAAGAACCGCTACCCATCGGCGCATCCTTGCAGTGAGCTTCGTCTGTCTTGGCCAGGTTCACTGCGCGCAGGAACTGAACTCGATGGCAAAGGCAATGCGCGCGGGCTCCTCCTCGCCATCCGCGCAATCGCCCAACAGGCCGCCAGGGTCAGCCGAGCCAATGAAGACGTCGATGCGGCCGCTTCGTCGACCTTCTCTGGTATTGGCACCTCCGCTGCTGCTGCTGCTGCTGGAGCTCCCCCTTCTGCGCATTCGCCTGCGCCTGGCGCGACGGCGGGCTGCTGGGCAGCAGGCAGCTGCTCTAGCAGGCTGGTGGACTGCTCCAGCTCGCTGACGGCGGCTTGGAGGTCCTGGAGGAAATCGGCCAGCGAAGCGTTCTCGGCAGGGATCGCTGCAAGCCTGGTCTCGAGCGGTTCGACGTCGATGCCGCTCGCAATGGCGCAGTAAAGCTTGGCGGCCTCCTGCTTCGCATGCTCCAGCTCCTTCTCCAGCCTCGCGACTTCGCCCTCGGAGTCCGCCACCGCCGCCGGCGCCATGAGAGCCTTCTCCACATTGCTTGCCAAGCGGTCCTTGGCGGTCTGCGGTGAACAGGTCGCATTGTCCAATGCCTGAAGAGCTTCGCGCCCAAGAGTGCTCAGTACACCAGCAGCAGCAGCGCGCCCAGAACGCGGCGCCTGTCGGCGAGCCTGCGCTCAACGGTTTACGAGGCTCCCGCGCTGCCCCGCCACCTTCGCAAGCCCAGCGGCCCTTAATGTTGAACTCTCCGCAACTGCACTCCCAGTACTCAGCCATAGCGAAACGCACAGGACGAACACAACAAGCACAACCAAAAAGCGGGGGATCCTGCTTGACGCGCGCTGGTGCGAAACATCGAGAAAGTTGAAGGAAAACCGCGGACTAGCAGTATTGAGTACTTTCAGAATGGAAAGCCGACATGGCTACGGAAAAAAACACTGGAGCCTTCGGTGGTGGACCTCATGCTGCCACGAAGCGTGCGAGGGGTGCGCCGAAAGGGGGGGCGGAATAGCATGTGGGCGCTGCCACTGTAGCGTTCGGTGGTGGCCTCAAAGGGGCCACGAAGCGTGTGAGGGGTGCGCCGACACAGGAGTATAACCACATGCGGGAGCTGCCACTCGGGCCTTCGGTGAATATCCCGATTTGGGTTACGACGAGTGACGGGTGCGTCGACATGGTAAGGGGAGGCGAGGGCTGACAATGATGAAGAAGAAATCATGATGGCAATGATGGAGATGATGATGGATGATGATGGTGATAAAGATGGTGATGATGACGGTGACGATGGCTGTGACGCTTATGGTGATGGTTATGGCGGTGACGATGCTGATGATGATGGTGGTGATGATGATGATGATGACCATGATGACGATGACTGGTGGTGATAACTATGCCGATGATCATGATGATGATGATGGTGGTGAACATGATGATGATGATGATGATGATGATGATGATGATGATGATGATGATGATGACGATGGCACTGATACTAATGGTGATCACTGATCACGATTGGTGATGCTGATGATAGGGGTGATGCCGATGGTGATGGTGACGATTGCTGGTGGTGATGATGATGCGGATGATGCTGGTGATGATGAGTCTGATGATGAAGATGGTGACGATGATGATAGTGTTGATGACGATGACGACGATGAGGATGATGATGATGACGACGACGATGGTAATGAGGGAATGCGGAGGGCAGAGGTGGGGATGGGAGGAGGGAGAGGAGGAGAAGGAGGAGGAGGAGGAGGAGGAGTGAGGAACGCGGAGCGCTGTCTCTTCAAAACGGGAACCCACCACCACAAAATGGTTGGGAACAAGTGCGCGCGTGTATGTGCTATGGAACGGATTTTCGCTCGGCCCTCCTTGCGGATCTCAGCATCCCTGCACGTCTGCACGCGCTGTATTCACTGCCCGCCAACTAACTTGGGCGTTGTCCTTGCACGCCCGCTCTCCTGGCGCAGCCACCTACTCGCAACGACTTGTGGAATTCAAGCTAGTTTGCACAATGGTGACGTCACCTGGCAGGCGGAGGTACAAGTGTGTTATGGGCGGCACTGATAAGGTGGTTGTGCGAGGAGGGGCCTTCTAAGAAGGCGGGGGGGTTCTCAGAAGACAGCGGCCTTCTCAGGAGGGCCCGGAGGATTCGAAGACGGCTTCTTAAAGCAGGGAGGGCATCCAAGACGGCCCCTGCCTTCTCAGAAACCGCCCTCGTGCTTACAAGGCCGCCCCCCTCGTCCGATCCCCCATTCTTCGCGCGGCCGTTGTCAGGCGCGTCGTGTTGCAATGCGGCCAGCTGGCAGTCAGCAGATGGTTCATCGCGCGCCCTGCGTTTGCATGCGCAACTTGACATAGGGGAACGAGTGATGACAGCATAAAAACTCGGAGGTCCGCGCGGATTTCTCGGATCGGCGCTGGGCTCCCCTGGCGGCGCCTCTGGCGACGCCCCTGGCGCGCTCCGCGCGCCCGGGAGGAGGGTCGACCGCCAATCTGAGGAATCCGCGCGGACCTCCGAGTTTTTATGTTCATGTCATTGCCTGCTTCCCTATGGCACAGGTCGCACTGCAGACCGCCAGGTTCTTCTCCCTTGTGAGGGGCAACGAAGGGGGGGGACTGGCATAGGGGGAATGCATCGACCTGGAATCGGCGATACGTCGCCGATAGATCGGCGATACGCCCCCGATAGTGAATCCGCACCTTCCTGTGCAGGTTGGGGCCATGTCGGCGATCCATGGGCGACTCGGGGTCGATGCATCCCCCCCGATGCCTATCCCCCCCCCCTTGCGTTGCCCCTGACCCTGGCGATCCCCCGAACCCTCTTCCCAAAATTGGAGGCCTGGAAATGAGCACCATCACCAACACAATGGGTTGCCTCCACAGGGAAAGATGCTCCTAGATTTCGGTCTTGGTGGCAATACCTCGGCCACCTCGGCACCCAGACTAGATTGCCACCAGTACCGAGATCGGGCTCTTCGCCCCTCGGTGGAGGCACACCGCCGATCTTGGTGCTGGTGCCCACCTCTGGGCCTTTGGACGCCCGAAATGGGTACGGAAAACATGGGCACAGTGCCCAACAACAAATCTTGTCCCAAACCAACAGCAGCCGCTGCTGGGCAGGCGGCCTTCTGTCTCGAGTGGACACAGGCCGCGGCGGCGTGGACAGCGAATCCTGGTCAAAATGAAGAGGAACTGCTGTTGGGCATCGTACCCATTCTTTCAGGACCCATTTCGGGCGTCCCGAGGGCCTGCGACAAACGACGCCCGCCCCGGCAGCCCGCCTCGTCGAGGTGGCTCTGCTCCGCCCACTGGTCGCTCCTCCACCTCGGCAGCCGCCCCTCGCCCCGGACCCCAGGCCTTAAGTCGGGCCTGTCCCTCTACAGGGGGGATATTCAAAAACAGTCCAAAAACAGTCTGGGGACCATTTTGTGGGGTGTATTTGGATATCTTTGGGGTATGTTTCTGCATCTCTTTACTTTTTCGTCCCAAATCCCCCTGTAGGGGGACACGCCCGACTTAACCCCAGCCGCCCGCCCGCCTCCGCTCCAGCTCCGGGCACGGTCCGCCCTTGGAGCACGGTCCGCTCCGCCCCCCGCTCGAGCGCCCGAGGCAGGGCCCCCCGGCAGGACGAGGGGACGGCGAGCGAGGGGGGGGTAGGGGGCCGCATGCGAACCCTACCCCTACCCCCCGCGATTTCTGAGGGGTAGGGTGGGGTTCACTTCGTTCGGAAGCTCCCGAGCGAAGTGAACCCCACCCTCCCCCGTAGAAATCGTGGGGGGTGGGGGTAGGGCTCGCATGTGGCCCCCTAGGGGGGGGAAGTTTCGGGCTCGAGGTGTTCGAGGTGTTCGCACGTGTTCGTCGGTTCTCGGCGGCTTTCCATCCTCGAGACGCTTGCCAGCAGCTGCGCCTCGCCGCGGACGTTCCAGGGGTGCCCGGATCGTCCCGAACGGCCGCCGGAGACCCGAGTTAAGATCCAAAAACCACATTCATTCGATGGCGCGCCCAGGGGGGGAAGGGAGAAGGAGAAGGCCTACTCAGAAGGCGGTGGGACTTCTCGGAAGCCCTCGCGCCTTCCGAGAAGTTTTCTGCGTCTTCGGGAAAGGCTCCGAAACCTTCTCAGAAGGCTTGGAGACTTCCGAGCCGTCTGTGAAGGCTTGCCCTTTCTCATTTCCCCCCCTCGCACGCCGCCGAACGAAGGCAGGATGAGGAGAAATCCGGATGAGGATGGACCGAGAATGTCCGACAGCGGGTGGGTCTGGAGGATGCACTAGACGGCCGCAGCCTTCTCGGAGCCGAGCGCTCCAGCACGCCCTGGAGCAATCGGACCTCACCTGAAGCTTTCCCGGCTCGGTCCCGGCCAAGGATCAGGTCGGCGACCTGGTCGAGCGTCGACCCGCGGATCAGGGGCCCCTGGTGCTCGGGCGCTGCTTCACGGGGGGGCGAGCGATTGCTTTTGGGGGTGGCGTGGGGGGGGGGAACGAGCACCCCTCGTGCGCCTGCTGGGCCCCTTTAGGGCCACTGTAGGGCACAAGAGGTGCCCCCAGACGCCTCCTGGATGGGGTCGGGATAATTATGTGGGGTCGGGGGAGCGCGCCGAATCGCCGATGCATCGGCGATGCGTCGGCGAAGCATCGGCGATGCACCTGCGATGCATCGGCGATGCACCGGCGATGCACCGGCCGCATCGCCGATGCATCCGCGATGCATCGGCGAAGCATCGGCGATGCACCTGCGATGCACCAGCGATGCACCGGCGATGCATCGGCCGCATCGGCGATGCATCGGCGATGCGGCGCGATCCTCCGACCCCATCTACTCCGACCCCAGGGTCGATGGTTCTCAGGACGCAGGTTGGCGTCAGCGTGCGTTGGCCTATCGAGACCCCTCAGTACCACGCCGGCGATGAAATGATCTATCGGTGGAGTCGAGCAGGGTAAACACCCAGTGGGCTAACAAATTTTCACGGGATCATCGGTACGAGGCCGCGGAGGGGGCAAACCCAGGAGCGCAGGCCAATGTTTGGAGGACCCCTGTGGGCCCGCACCGAAGGTCATTCCAGCGAAGGATCACTTCCGCGCGTCGCCGACATGATGTGGAGCATGGATCGTCGCTCGGCCGACAGGTAGCCAGTGCTTTAAAAAAAGCCTGCGTAGTTAAACGTACACGTTGGGAGGTCCGCGTTGATGTCTGGGTCTGCGCCGGAGCCCCTGGGGGCAGGCCGGCCCCAGAGATCTGTGCCGACCTCTGAAAACTACGCTTGTGACGCTCTGCCTTCTCCGACAACGTCGGGACTCAAAGTCGCCCCGCTTCTAGAAGGCCTTGTTGCAAGCCTCTGGGCCTTCCTGAAGGCCCCTGCCTTCCAAGAAACCTCCCACCTTCTCAGAAGGCCGTCCCCCTCGCGCCACCACCTTGCGCCCGCCGCCAAGCTAGGTCCCCCGCACGGTCGTCCTCATCGGATGCTTCGGGCATCCCGATGGCATCCGCATGTAGCACCCCGGCGTCGTGGGCGCGACGACGGCGGAGTCGGCGACGGGGGCCTCTTGCGGGCTGGGGGAAGGACACCCGCGAACGCCCCTGCCAGGCAAGGGAGGATGCGAGGAAAAGGGGGGAGGGAAGAGGAGGGACCTGGGGAAGGAGGGTGGAGGAGGAGGAGGCGGAGAAGGAGGAGGAGGAGGACGAGGGGGAGAAGGAGGAGGACGACGAGGAGGGGGATGACGACGAGGAGGACGAGGAGGAGGAGGAGGAGGAGGAGGAGGAGGAGGAGGAGGAGGACGAGCGCCCACGTCCGATGTGTTTGTGGTCCTCGGCGGTTGGCGGGTGGGCGGCGCACTGACATTACCGTGCCGCCTGGCCAGCACTCGAGCTCGGGCTTGGAGGGGGCTCTGAACCCCCTCGGGCCCAAATTTCCTTCCAGCACGCAAGGTATAAAACGTGACTTAATCGATTGCCTCCTCCTCCTCCCACTGCAGCGCGACACAACCATGCTCAGTTAATGCATCCTCTTGTCCGTATCAGGACAATGCTACCGAACGACGTTGCGTCACGAAAGCTGGACGGCCCACTGGCGGCGCTGAAGAAATTGCCTGCCTGAAAAGATCCAGCACCGCCGTGAAAACAAATGAGGGCGGAGGACAAAGGGGAAGGGGGGGAGAAGAGGAAGGTGCAAGCTAAAACAGGTTTGGGGCCAGTTGCCCAAAACAGCGCGGCCTCAAAACGTTGCACAAGGAACGGACCAAAGAGCATTCAAGCACCGACTCGACGCGCTGTGGGCTTCGCTTGCGCGCCTGCAGTATTGCATCACTTCTTGGACGGCATGCTCGGGAGTGGTGCCCGCAAAGTGTCCGAATCTTCTCCCGTTCGTCGTCATGTAGACCCCGAAGACCAAGATAGCCCAACGCGTCAATTCTGAATCACTCCCGTTGTTGTACACACCCAACACGCACAGCTTCCGGTGCCAGAAATCGCCCTCCAGCCGCAAGAGACGACGCCCAGCATCCCTGCCGATGGAGCAGCCCATGTAATGCGTGATGTTGTCGCGCCCGCGCCCGATCCAAGCTGGCACGGGCCATGGGTCTGGAAGCGGCACGCCGTGCACCAGCGACCCCATATCAAGCCCCACATAACAGAGGCGACTCGCGGAGCCACCAGTTTACCAAGACGCCGAGGGGCACTTTCCGCGCGGTCGCGGCGACCGTGCCGGTTGCCAGGCAGGTCCCATTTGCTTAAGTTGCGGAGTAGGCGTGCACCCCAACTCTAGGGCTGAGGGAAAATCGCTTTCGCAATCTCGCCCTGGAAGACGCCTCGCAAAATGATCCTGTCCTTGTCCGCGTCCGCTCCCGTGCAGAGGTGTTTCTTGATAGTTTCCACGTGGACCCCGCGCGCCCTCTGTTTCCTCTTAGTGGCCTCCAGCTGGAATGCGGCAGATTGCCACCGCCAGCCGCGCCAATGCATGACGCGATCGTCGCTAAGGCCAACCATTGTCGAAGTTCCTGGCCGGACGCGGCAATCGGGCGTTCCCAACGCTCGAAATTGAAGGCGCGCAACATGGCAGCGGCGCCCCTCGCTCGAAGACAATAGAATGAACGGCCCACTCCGCACTGATGGATCCACCACAAGTCTGAAGAGTTTGCCCATGCGCCAGGCCCCCATCGCCAATCCGAGCACGACTGTTTTCCTGCTCCAGGAGGGTCGCTGGGATAGGTGCAACTTGGGCATGAAAGTACAGTCCTGAGGCGCACAATGCGTTGAAGACCAAGGCGCTGCACTGCAAACCACCGTCATTCCCGCTCCAACTGGCAACTCGGCGCATCCACTTGATAACCGCCTTGCTCCGCGCTGCGGCGATCCAGACTGGCCCGACATGGGAGCCCAAGTATTTCCCGATAGTCCGGACAATCACTGCCCAGTCACCGCCGATCGTCGCGAGAAGCGTCGTGACCTCGTCGTAAGTGGCCTCCGCCGGGCGCCATGATGGAATGAGTATTGCTTCGGCAAAGTCCAAGCGGGGCCCCGAGACGACGGCCCACTCCTCGACCATGCGAGCCACGCGGGGAAGACAACAAAACAAGTCAACTGACACGCTGGCGGCGTCGTCCGCGAAGACACTCGACGCCCCGCGGACATGGGGGACCTTCTCCAAGCGCCTCAACAATGCGTCAAAGACCACGGCGAACACCAGGGGAGGAAAAGGGCAACCCTGCCGAATGCCCCGCGCCATGGAGAAAGAGGATCCTTCACTCCCTGCCGCGCGAATCGTCGCAGTTGTTCGGTCGTAGACGGTGGCCGCGAGCTGGGGCCGGTGCTCCAGCGTGCCCAGCCACCACAGCGCGCGCATGATTCAGCCCCGCTCAATGGACGGGAAGGCCGCCGCAAAGTTGAAAAATACGGTGGCGCCCTTGTCGCGCTTGCAGCTGATCCCCATGGCCTCGTGCTCGATCTCCACCACCAACGCTGCTCAGCATCGACCGGCCCCGGAGAAACTCCTCCTGAGCGTTGAACACCCAGGCGTTGAAGATTTCTCCCAACGGAGGCGAGCAGCGCTGCAAATGATGCGGTTGCCGGCGTCGGCACTCGAGAGAGGTCGGGCGCTCGCGGCATCGTAGATCCCCCCCATCCTCTGCGGACCGCCACCTTGGGAAGACGCGCGAAAATGTCGGCCTTGAACTCGTGCTCGCCGCCGCGCGCTTCCGACTAAACATCGAAGGCGTTCGGTGGATGGAGCTCGCCCATTAAGCGCCGCAGCAGGTCCGCCCTCATTTCTCCGAGCTCCTTCCAGACCTTGCACGGTATACCGTCCAGGCCTGGGGCAGAATGCTCGCCGCGCTAAATGGCGAGCTCGAGATCTTCGCGCTGGATCATCCAATCGGCCGAATATGCGGGCGGGGTGCCTCGCCCTCAACCGCGCTGCCCCCGGGCGTCTCGTTTGCGACCTGCCGAGGGCGCTGAACTCGATGGGAACATATCCTCCAGCCAACGTGCAAGAGGCCCTTCGTCGATGCACTCTTGTTGGAAGACCTCCGACAAATGTTCGCGCGACGTATGTAACATGCCTGAAGTGTCAATCCGGACCTCGCCCCGCTTGTTCACCATCGCCCTGATGCTGCCGTCGGAGCGCCCGCTGATGCGCTGCAGCTTCCGCAAGCTGCCCCCCTTGCCTCGGCGGGCGCCCCGCTCGTCGCCTTCCTCCTGCATTCGCTTGACCTCCCCCATGTCATCGACGGCCGCCGCCCTGGCCAACTCGAATTTTTCCTCTGGCAACGCCGAGGCAGATTAGCCGCGGACATGATCCGATGGCGAGGGGGGCGGGGGAAGCAGGGGGGCAGGGGGCGGACGATGGGCGGCAGGAGATGACACAAGACAGGACACGAAAAGTAATGCGCCACCCCATCGCCGCCGAGAGCGCAACAACCAAATTTGCAAATATCAGTGCACTGTCTGAACCTGCGGGTCGCAGGCCAGGCGCTGCGCGAAGGAAGTCGCTACCAACGCAAATGAATAGTTTACTATTGGCGATCCAAAAACACTCGATCACCGACGGGGGGAAGGGGGGGGCAGAGCCAAAAGGGCCGAGCGCGCAGGAGAAGATCAGGAACGGGAGGAAGTGGACGAGGCCGAGCTTTCAGGAACTTCTACGTCTCCCTCTGAACAGTCATCGCGTCTGGGTCGGCGAACTGAGGGCAAGGGCAAATAGCTCATTTCAACGCTCAATCATGTTCTTCAAGATGGACCGGTTCCACCATCCAGGGCACTTCCGAACTAAGAAGACATCATCATCGCACATACCGATAGGCAGTCTACACACATTCCTCTTCCTGTATTTTTACAGGCCCGGGCGGGGGGGGAACCCGCCATCCCCCCTCAAGGAAAAAAACTAGACTTCCTGGATCTGGGGCTTTGGGGCCCTTCGGACGGGCCTCGAAGCGGCCCCCAGGGCCTCGCAGGGTCATCGGAGACGTCCCAGAGAACCCCAAGACGGCGCAAGAACGCTCCAAGAAGCCGTCATACCCCGAAAGATCGCTCCAAAACGCACCAAGAGGCCTCCAAGAGCACCCCCAAGAAGGCCCCAAGAAGGACAAACAACTAATTTAATGTAAGTGTTTGGTGAATGTGGGGTTGCTCTCTTTCCGGCTTCCCGACGCTCCAAGACAGCAGTCTTCTGGGCGTCCGAGGTCGCCTGGGAGGTCCCAAAATCGCCCCACAACCATCCGAAAAAAGGTTTCCAGGCAGTCCAAGAGAACCCCAAAACGGCACAACAGGGGTCCAAAATGACCCTAAGAGAGCCCCATGGCGGCCCAAGATGGCCCCGAGACACCCTCCGAAGCACTCCAAATCGTGACCGGGGCGTTCAGGGAGACCGCGGTTCGAGGCAGGTTGGCTTTAGGAAGGCCCAGAGGCCCCCAGAACACGCCCAAGAGGCCTCCAGAAGGCTTCAAGAAAGCTCGAGAACTTTGGCGAGGCCCCAGAGGCTTTTCAAGGAGGAGCCCCCGCAAAAAGAGCCGAGGAGGATGAGGAGAATGCCCAGGGCATGGCGAGAATGAAAACAGCAAGCATGGAGGAATGATAACTAACAACATTATTATAATGGCGATGCCAGAAAAAGGCAGCAAGGAGTTATCGCTAAATTGTCCGCTTGACATTCCTGCCGTTTCTGCCTGCATACCAATCTTCAAGGACCAAGGTGCATGGCGCGAAGCGCCACTGCAATCTTGTGTATATATATATATATATATGTATAAATTGGTCGTGGCATCCCTAAACTCTCTGGACTGAACGGCTGCTCGGAATACTGCCGCTTTGGAAGCTCAGGCGATATTCCCGGGCCCCGCCTTGCTACCTAGGCCACGCATGTCGCGGAGAAGGTTGCTCGGTATGGCATGCCTTGGAGAAGCGGTAAGTCTCTGTACGGCAGTATGTTCTGTCTTGAACACCACGTCCGACGGGGAATGCTCTTGCCCGACGCGAGGCAACACAGGAAGAGCGAACGCATCATGCGCGAGACGACTATGAACGAGAGACAGATGCAACGAGCTGGCGCGCG